ATGAATAGCAAGAACCTACAACCAAGATTACTCTACCCAGCAAAGCTATCATGTAGAATTGAAGGTCAGATAAAGAGCTTCACAGACAAGAAAAAGCTAAAGGAGTTCATCACCACCAAACCAGGATTATATGAAATGCTGAAGGGTATTCTTTAAGAAGGGGAAGAAGAAGAAAAAGGTAAAGATAAAAATTATGAACAACAAAGTGACAACAAATACATATCAACAAGTGAATCTAAAAATTAAGTCAATAAAAAAATCTGATGAACAGAATAAACTGGTGAATATAATAGAAGCAGGGGCATAAAAAGGGAGTGGACTGACAATTCTTGGGGGGAAGAGGGTGTGAGGAGTGCAGGAAGAGATTGGACAAAAATCTTACACATATGGATGAGGACAGTGGCAGGGGGTAAGGGCATGGGGTGGGGTGGGAACCTAGTGGAGTGGAGCTATGGGGGGAAAAAAGAGGAACATCTGTAATAATCTGAACAATAAAGACTTATTTAAAAAAAAAAAGAGTAGGCCTTTCTTCCCCTGGATGCTAGCACCGCCTTCCCTCTGGCACCCGGGACCTGGGCTTCCCTCACTTCCCTCACAGCCCTGGCTTCGTCAGGAAGGATGTCCGGAAGGACGTTCGGTCTAATTAGCATATTACACTTTTATTATTATAGATAGTAGTCCCCTCTTATCTGTGGGGGATACGTTTTAAGATCCCCAGTAGATTTCTGAAAGTGGATATAGTGCTGGACCCAGTATGTACTGCTTTTTCCTATATATGCATACCTATGATAAAGTTTAATTTATTAATTAGGCACAGTAAGAGATTAACAATAAGTAATCATACAATAGAACAATGTAGTGATACTATCAGTACTTTTTGTATTTTCAGTCCAGACCTCTTCCTGCATCTGTGGAACCATCCTCACTTTTAGTGAACGGCTTGGGGTCATGGTTTCGGGGACCCTGGCTAATGGCTCTCAGTCAGGACACTTTTTCCATTCATTTCTCCCACTAACACATTTGATGTCTTTTCAGTCTTAACTAAGTACTTATTATATACTGTTGTGGCCGTGTCTTTTGCAGTTTCAGGCGAGACAGCAAAACTGGCATGAATTTTTCTTCATAATTTTATGGGTAGAACCTTCCTTCTTACCAGAAATCTTAGCAGCCTCGGCATGCAGTTTTTTTCTCCCTAAATTGAGAACTTCCTTTTCACTTCAAGGGAGTACTTTATGGCTTGTCTTTGGCATGTCTGAATTGCCAACATCACTTCTGTGCTTCGGGCCCTTATTAAGTAAAATAAGTGTTCCTTGAACAGAGGCACTGTGATGCCATGGCCGTTAATCTGATAATGAGATGGCTGCTAAGTGACTAATGGGTGGCGGGTGTACGGTATGGAGACTCAGGACAGAGGGTGGAGTCACATCCTGGGTGGGGTCCACAGGATTTCATTACCTTTCTCAGAACTTATCAATTATTTATTTCTGGAATTTTTCTTTTAATATTTTCAGAACACTGTTGACCCTGGGTAACTGAAACCACAGAAAGCTAAACCATGGTTAAGAAGGGACTAGATATAAGGAAAAGGAGGGGATCATTGTGGGCGGGCGGGGGGGGGACGGAAATGATCCTCAAAAGCCTAGGTAGAGAGATTACTGGGGGTGAATGAGAATGAAACAGATTTGCATATACTTCTGTGGGGGATCAGAGGTGGAGTGTTTGAAAGTATGTACTTAGGTCCCCTCCTCTGTCACATAGGAAGACTGGGGTGCGGGGAGGAAGCAATGAGGAGATAAAGAGTACAGGCTTAAAAAATAGTCATTGAGGGAAATGGGAGAGGAAGTCGATCAGAGACAGGTAAGAAGAATGCCTAAGAGCATGGCGGGTCCATCTGGCATGGCGTACCATAAATGTGAGGTGATGCCACTCCTTAAGATTGCACCCAGCCCCCCAAGTATAAAAAGTGTGAAAGTTAGGCTGTGGGATTAATCCATAAATATTTCAGAAATTATGCAAAAATATAGGGGAGAAACGGGGATTGAAGGTAACTGTGAGTAATTTGAGAGTATGTTTTTGTACCACTAACCATACTACTGTTAGAAAACTTTCGCTTAGGATGAGAAGTATTCTAGAAATCAACCTTGGTTCTCTTGTTATTCTAGCTCATTTCCAGGCAGCCCTGAGGCCCTGTTACCTGGGATCACGTTGTCATGAGTCAAGGGTTTCAGCTTCAACTTATTTTGCCTAAAACATTAAACTGCCTCTTGGGTAAAGGAAGTTTTATCGAACATACGTGCATATACTAGTACACCACATGTATATTGTATGGAGAGAACTGCATGACATCCCCAATACATCCCTCATCCCACAATAAGTCCCTCCCTGGGCTGGGGGAGCTTCCTGGAGCCTTGGTCAGCTTCAGAGGGAACCAGCCAATCAGCACTCGCTTCATAAGTCATTGTCGCTCTGTCCCTACAATTGCTGATGAAGATTTTAGACCATTCACAATAGCGATAGGGACAGAAATGTTGAACAGAAAGAGAAGCTTTTTAATGAAGGTGAAATTGAACGTTTAAGATGACTTTACAGGTACATTCTGGTAAGAGCAGTGTCAATGGCTAACCCACGGGCCCTGTTAAAGGGCCTGAACCTGTCACCTCCAGGCCACTCGTCACGACCACTGTAAAGGATGAGAATCAGAGACATTCTGCCAAATATCAGGGCGGAGGTTTCTCTGTGATGGTGCATTTGCTTTAAATGCAGGGGTGTCCACAGTTCAAAGAGTAACTTCAAGTAGAACTAATTGGTAGTTTAAACCAAGAAGCCAGAGGACAACCCTTTATAACACTCTGTCACCTTTCAGTACCGTTTATGTTGTCATTTAATAGCATTCTCCTATATGGTTACTCCACCTTATTTAACATCTTTGTTGAAATACACCCCCCAAAAAAATCTACCATAAAGGAGGGCTAGTTAGCATTTTTAGCCTTTAAGATGACTCCACAATGAAGAATCTAAGAATGAAGTCCAGAAATGGTTGTTCCCAGTAACAGGACCTATTAATGGTGTCACTGCCCCCAACCCAGGTAATGGATTATGTTAGTAAGAGAGAGGGGTGAGGCATCTTTTCTGTGTAGCAGAGGTCGATGACAAGTGCCAGCCAGATATGAAGCAATGTGCTGACGTGTCCCTTTTCTGCCTTGTGTTTAGGGGCATCGTCCAGTCGGAAGAAAAACTTGTCATCAGTGCATCTTGGGCAAAAGATGATGATATAAGCAGACTCTTGAAATCTCTACCCAACTGGATCAATATGGCTCAGCCCAAACAGCTGAGGCCAAAGAGAGAAGATGAAGAAGATTTCATAAGGTAAAAGGTCTATTTTCTAAGTTGTACTGAGCATGAGGAGGAAAAACATCTGTTTAGCTAATTCTTTCTTGTGTGAAATTTTGGCCAATTTTAAATATCAAGTAGCAATGAACCAAACTTAGTCAAGTCTGTTTTCATCCTAATACACCTCACTTCCCATGCAACTATGCCTTGTGCTCAAAACATTAGAAGGCAGTGAGTGACATGAATCAAATTTGGAGCATTACTAAATTGAGTTAAAATATATTTCAATTTGTAGGTCCTTCTCCCCTCTTAGGGGACAAATAGTGTATGCATTCATTCACTTATTCAGCAAAGCTGTATTCACCTTATTGTAAGCACCACACCTGGAAATATGACGGACAGTTGTTAAGAAAAGTTCCTGCCCATACAGCACATATTACAGTTGTTCTTAGCATGTTCTTCACCTCAGAAAACCGTTAGTTAAACTTTCTGGAAATACAAATGTGCTCCCCATGTCTGTTCATATACATTGTATTTTCTCTGATTGCTTTTTGATTATTTTGACAAAAGTAATGTCTCTCCTTCAACTTTATCACTCAGTATTTACCTAAGTTCAATTTAAATTTTTTACTTAGGGCCTAATTTGATGAAGCTACTCATTTTCACAGGCGGGTTTGCCACAGTGAAACATCCCACCTAGTTTATAAAGTAGAGGGGAAAGTAATACGTTGTCACATGAAAATTAATTTTATTCCTATTGTCTTTTGCCTATCCAGGTGAATAAAGAAATAGTTCAAATAAAAATAAAATAAAAGCACTTTAAAGAAGCAAAGACCAGAAAAGGAATAAAAGAAGGAATGGCCAGTATCTTACTTTCATTTTATCATAAGACTGCTGTGACCTCTTCTGTTTCTCAGAATGTAGTTCAAAACTATAGATAAATAGGTCTTTACAGCTCATAACATTAACCATATTCATATCCTGTAGTGCCATATTTTACCATCATTTTATTATGAAAATATGCTAAAGGGCCATTTAAAACTTTCTCAAATCATGATACTCAAAATTCACCAGTAATTTATCCTAAAGTCTTCCTATCTATATTTTTCTTTCCCATTATTCAAATGATCTCAGAGAAACCTGTTAACTAGTTACTTTGATATAAGAAAACTATGAACAGTCTTTAGTTTAGGAGGAACAGTTTTAGGTTCATAAAAAGTTTTATCGAAAATCATGGACTTCCTATATATCCCCTCACTCATCCCCCAATTTTCTCTATTTTTAACATCAGTGTGGTACAGTTGTTAACATAGATATATTGTTATTGACTAAAGTCTATAGTTTACATTAAGGTCCACTCCTTTTGTTATACATTCTATGGGTTTTGACAAATGTATAATGAATGTATCTACCATTCAAAATAATAGTTTTGCTGCCCTAAAAATTCTCCGTTACTCCTCCTATTCATCCCTGCTTTCCTTCCCCAAATCCTGGTTAATCACTGATTTTTTTTTTGCCACCTCCATCATTTTTTCTTTTCCAGAATGTCATATATTTGTAATCATATAGTATGTAGCCTTGTCAGGTAGGCTTATTTTGCTTAGCAATATGCACTGAAGTTTTCTTCATGTCTTTTTGTAGCTTGATAACTCTTTGTTTTGAAATTTCTGAATAATATTTCATTGTATGGACGTGCTATAGTTTGTTCATCCATTCACCTATTGATAACATTCATGTGCAGGTTTTTGTGAGGGTGTAAATTTTCTATTTATTTGAGTAAATACCAAGGATTGCAATGCTAGATCATATGGTAAGAGTATGTTTAGTTTCACAAAAAACTGCCAAACTATCTTCAAAGTGGCTGTACCATTTTGCATTTCTACCAGCAATGAATGAGAGTTCCTGTTGCTCCACATCCTTAATAGCATTTGGTGTTTTGAATTTGGTATCCTATAATAAAAGGCTAATATAGAAATGCAAAAGGACGCAGGTCGAGCTGAGGGACCACTCCGAGTGCACGATTTTGTGCACCCGGCCTCTAGTATTCTAATAGTTGTGTTGTGGTATCTCATTGTTTTAATTTTTGTAATGACACATGTTGAGATATCTGTTTAGATCTTTTGCCCATTTTTAATTGGGTTGTGTGTTTTATTATTTTTGAGTTTTAAGAGTTCTTTGTGTATTTTAGATACCAGTCCTTTATCGATATGTGTTTTGCAGAGATTTTCCCTCAGTCTGTGCCTTGTCTTTAATTCCCTTCACAATGTCTTATGTAGAGCAGAAGTCTTTAATTTTAATTGAATTCAAATGTATTGATTTTTTATTTTATGGATTGTGCTTTTTCCCCTTATGATTTTAATTGAGCATTTTATAGGATTCCATTTTTTTCTTCCTTGTTAGCATATAAATTATACTTATTTTTTTACTGTTTTTAGTGGTGGTCCTAGAGTTTTCAAGATACATTTAAACTAATCCAAGTCCACTTTCAAATAACACGATCCCACTGCATGGGGAATGCAAGCCCTTCTAACAGAGTATTCCAGTGCCTTCCTCCCATTCCTTATGGCTCTGCTCTCATTCCCTTCATTTTTCCATAAGCTACAATCACTGCACATAATTTTATTATTTTGAGCAAACCGTTACCTGTTGATCAATTAAGAATAAGAGAAATAACAGGTATGTTTTCCTTTAGGTTTTTCTTTTCTAGTGCTCTTCCTTTCTTAATGTACGTCCAACTTTCTAACCTATATCATTTTCCTTTTCCCTGAAGTTCTTTTAACATTTCTTATAAGACAGGTCTGGTGACAAATGCTCTCAATTTTCCCCTGAAGTTCTTTTAACATTTCTTATAAGACAGGTCTCCTGGTGACAAATGCTCTCAATTTTTGTCTGTCAGAGACAGACTTTATCTTTCCCTCACTCTTGAAGAATAATTTCACTGCGTAGAGCATTCATTGGATGGTGATTCTTTTAATACTTTAAATATTTCACTTCATTCTTCTTCTGTAATTTTTGAAGAGAGGTCCACTGTAATTTTTTTTCTTGTTCTTCTATAGGTAAGGTGATTTTTTCCTTTGAATTCCTCGAGGGTTTTTCTCTTTGTTTTAATTTTGTGCCATTTGAACAGTTTATGCCTGGATGTATATATTTTGGAATTTTCATGCTTGGTGTTCTCTGAGCTTCCTGGGTCTGCGGTTTGGTGTATGTCACTGGTCTGGAAAATTCTTAGTTATTATTGCTGCAATATTTCTTCTGCATATTGTTTCCTTTATTCTCCTTCTGTTATTGCCATTACACATACATTACACCTTTTGTAACTTTTTCACAGTTCTTGAATAGTCTGTACTGTCTTTTCACTCTTTTTTTTCTCTTTGGATTGCATATTTGGAAGTTTCTATTGACAATTATTCAAGCTCACTGATTCTTTCCTTGGTCATGCCCAGTCTTTTGGTCAGCCCAGAGAAGACATTCTTCATTTTTTTATGGTATGTTTGATTGTTAGCATTTCCTTTCGATTCTTTCTTAGAGTTTCCATTTATCTGCTTAAATTACCTAAAGTTTACTTTTTCTTGAATGTGTATAACATATGTGCACATATCAAAGGCATAGCTTGGTACATTTTCACCCTTTTTATTGTGTAACCACTACCTAGATCAAGAAACAGAATGATAGTAAAAAGGATCCTTTTCGTGTTTCCTCTGGTCACTACTTCTCTCTCCAGTAGTCCTTATCTGACTTCTAGACACACAAATTACTTCAGTCTGTTTTTGGATTCTCTAAAAGGAATGGTGCAGTTGTGTATCCTTTTATGACTGGCTCCATTTGCTTCACATTATGTTGGTGAGATTAATCCATGTTATGTTGTATAAGTTTTTATCACTCTATAGTCTATATGGTATTCCATTGTGTGAATACGTCACAGTTTTTAGGTTTTATTATTTGTTTGTGTAGGTATGTATATGTGTATATTCATTTATTCTACTGCTTATGGGCACCCAGGTAGTTTCTAGTTTGGAACTATTTTTGCATAGTGCTGCCATGAATATTCTATGTCTTTTGGTAACCCCATATATAAGTGTTTCTATTGTTTATTTATAGGAGTAGAATTGCTGGGTCATAGGCTATGCATATGTTCAATTTTAGTAACACTTCCAAACCACTTTCCAGAGTGATGGTAAGATTTTGCATAGCAGTATATGAGAGTTTCAGTTGCTCCATATCTCATCTATACTTGATATTTTCCATTTGTTAAAATTTAGCCTTATAGTAGGTTTGTAGAGGTCTTTCATGTTGGTTTAATATGCATTTCTCTCATGACTAAGGAAGTTGAGCACCTTTTAATGTATTTTTCTGTATTTACTGGCCATTTGAATATCCTTTTTTGCAACATATTTGTTACTCATTTTAAATTAGGTTGTCTTTTCTGTACTGGTTTGTAGGAATTCTTTATATATCTGGATATAACTTCTTTTATGATAGATATCATCTCCCACTTTATAAGTTGTATTTTTACTTTCTCTCTTCATTTAATATATTTGTATTGATTTCAGAGAGGAAGGGAGAAAGAGAGAGAGAGAGAGAGAGAAATCAATGATGAGAGAGAATCATTGATCGGCTGTATCCTGTATGCCCCCTGCTAGGGATTGAGCCCACAACCCAGGCATGTGCCCTGACTGGAATCGAACCATGACCTCCTGGCTCTACGCTCAACCACTAAGCCACACCGGCCAGACCCTTTTTACTCTCTTAATGGTGTCTTTTAATAAGTCAAATGTATTATTTTTTAATGGATAGGAAATTTTGTATTCTATTTAGAAGTCCAGGTTTATACCAAAGTCACAGAGGTGTTTTTTCTAACACCTTTAAATGCTGAATATATTTTCCCCAGCATCTGAAGTAAATTAAAAACTCTTAAATTTTTATTTCCTATGCCTGTTCTCTACAGGCCCCGTAATTTAAATCACATGGTGATAATAACGAGAGTAGCCTCATATGTTTTTCTATCAAGAGTGGTAAAGAGTGACTGAGACATGGAT